CGCGAACGATGCTAACTGTACATTTCATCGCGGTGTAAAACCGACGATAACGCGCGCTCGATTATAATTTTCAGATCCAATCTTGATTCTGTTACGCGAATATGTCCTGCACAGGAGACGGGCCGTAAGATTAATGTTACCATAATTCGGCGCGATAAATTATACACATCGTGTTTATATTCCACAGATAGGATCGCGTCGACATTTTAAAAATTTACGACTCTGTTTGACTTAAGAGAAAATTATTTTTTTTTATGTTTTACACGTTTTTGTTTCGTTTGAAAACTTTGATTAATGTTTTAAACATTACCGGATATATAACTTATGTTGTTGAAAATAACACGTTGATTAATATATACCAAGATTTCCTTTATGATATAAATAAATTAAGACGGGTTTTAGCAGGATTAGACTGAAATAGAAATTACTATTGACTGTAAAATGATTTTTTTAAAAAGGCCGCGAGATTCAAACTATATGTGCGCCTTCGCATGTGGCGAACCCGTATGATCTGAACCGAACAGTATTTCAGTATAAGAACACAAATATTTATAGTCTATGATGTATATATAAATAACTTGTGACTAAACTTCGTTAAAAGTATATCGAACGGTCCTCATATATTTTCCATTACGGTCTGTTATATATTATTTACTTAGGTTTTTCCGGCCAACGAAAACTTTGTTGGAGGGATAAAATCTAATCTAAGTTACGTTTGGTCGTGTTATATCGAATTCGCCCGAAATATAAACTTTACTGTAGCGTTTAAACAAACTTTAGTTTAATATTAAAAGTAAGTAAAATTGATTGCATGATTTTTTCTCTACTAAAGAGGAAAAATTTTTTTGTTTGATTGCTCAAAAACTACTTAGCCGATTATAAAAATTCTTTCACCCTTAAAAGATAATTTATCTATGAGTAACATAGGCTGTATTTTTACATTTCGCAGACAAAAGCTAGTCATTTAAAAAAAACATTTTCAATTTTAAAAAAATCGAAATACACTTTGCCTCATTTCAGTTACATTGAATGTTTTAATCATCTGTTTTTAAAATAACATTTATTAAGTTAACTGGATTATTCCAAGCTGTCAGATCAATAAAAATGTTCTCTCGAAATCAGGTTACACTCACTTAAGCCGTCGGCATTTAACAGAAACCTTATCCTTTAATAGTTTATTTTTAATTTTATAGACTGCTGTTACGAAAATAAGTCTTATAACCATTTGGCCGAATTAACCGCTATTTAATATTATCGTTTTGTAAAAGTATGCAATGTTAATAAAAAAACTTTCTTACCGTAATGGAAACACTTGTCGGAACGACGAGCAGTATAACGAACGCTAACGGAAGTTAACTCCGAAGGTATGTAATAATATATACACGGAAACTTATCCTGTATTGTGGGCATTAGAAACACTATCCTTCAATCTTTAACAAAGACTGGCCAACACTATCTAACCGCGAACATTTACAAGGATTAACCAATTGACTTTATATGTGTGCACAAACAAAAGACATCATTCCACCATTCAATGACAACTGTCAGTTCAGTCAGTTCAACCTAACTCTAAGGAATCACTAGGTAATCTAACTTAATATTATATATGTGAAAGTTTAGATGGATGTTTGTTACAGTTTGTAGCCTAAACGGCTGAAGGTATCTCGATGAAATTTGGCATAGATATAGAGTTCGGAAGAACACATAGGCTACTTGCTTTTGTTTTTTTTATTCCGCGCGGATCGATTCGCGGGCTAAAGCTAGTGATAAAATGAATGGAAATTTCAGTATCCCAATATATATTTATAGAGAGTTTTGTTTACATACATATCTTTTCTTTTATGCATATAATAAAATTGGAGTGTCTGTTGTATAATAATATTAAAAAAATCCAGATTTCGGAAAGATGACGTATTTGCGTTGCTAACAACGAAAATCGCGTTTTTTTGTCTGTATGTCTGTCTGTCCTTTGCGTTGCCGATTTCGATTGGACTTTTACTGAAGGATAGCTGACATAGACGAGCATATTATACGCTATTTTTTATCTTAATAATCGACGAAGTCGCGGGCAACAACTAGTAGTATAATATATCACTAGTCTTGCGTTTGAAGGCGGCCTTTTCTGCTGATTTATTGTACCTTATTCGTTATTGTGCTCCAATGATTCACCCTCCTCATAGATTTTGTGACATTAAGAGTGATTGGGAAAACAAAAAACAAAAAATTTACGATAGTCGTCTATTATATTGATGTTTATGAAATATCGTGTAGGAATAAGGAAAGTATAAAGTTATTTTTACACGTTTTACATTAAAAATTGATATGTGCCACTTATGCTAGGTTGCTGATGTTTCCATTCATTTTGTCATTACTTAGTGAATCATAAATGTAAGAGTAACCTCAGTTTCAAAGCGGTAAAACTCAAGTTACGTAGTTCGGAAACGCATTTGATGAATTTATCGAACCAAATATTCTAATGGTTAAATGAAGCTTGGAAACCAGCCATTAGATAGTGGTATCTGCTTAAATTAACGTATTCAAATAAAACGAGTTTTTAACAAGAAAAAGTGATTTATTTAAGAAACATTTGTATAGTTCCAAATAGAAGCTTTTAACTTATACGGTTTGGCTTGATCAGTTTATTTAAAAAACAGTCGTATCTGTTGGGAATAACTTTTCGATTCCATTCCACAGAATGGTCCATCAGTGTCACATTTTAACCGATTGCGTTCGATATGAGTCGATATAGACAGAAATACTGGCCACTTAGTTAAACACATGACGCTGCATTATTTCTTTATTTCGATCCAATTCAGAGGCGTAACCTCTGTGTAAAATACACTGTACTTATTGCAAGTTACTCTAAACTTAAGGCTACTTAGTTTTGTCTCTTTGCAACATAAAAATCTTTCATAAGCTTTTAGTTTTTAAAGTTTCAAACTTAGAACGAAATTGTTACATTGGAACTACGTTTTATTATTACATAACCGAGAGTAAACTGTTCATGGTTTTGTGGTATGAATGCTTTTTGTTTAAGAATCCGATATTTATTTACTCTTCGTTTGTTCAGTAAATTAGTTATAGCGTGATGTGATTGGTAGACAAACAAGCTAAGTCGGGGTGACTGGCGACAGACCGTCACTCATCAATCTGTGAAGCTAGATTTAACATCGTCTGCACAGGCTTATCCCCTATATGGGTGACCGATGTTGGTGACGTCTGCAAGGTCAATGACCCATAGTCGACGAAAACTTTTGCAATAGCTGTTGGTTCCAACTGATACATTTTGGACTAAATGCGTTTTTTTTCCACTAAAGTGTTACTGGCCGCATGCCCGACACATTTTGATTGCTCCTAAACTCTCGAGACAATCTGTCTTTACTAACTCTGTTTGTACAATTTATATTTTTTTATTTAATTTAATTTGTCTTGGATGGTTTTTTATTACTTTCGAGCCTATAAACACTCATAGTTTAATTAATAAATTGTAATATCATTTTAGTATTTACAAAATAGCAAGGTAATGCGTAAAACATTGGCTGTAACATTTACTAGGTACTATTTAAATGCATTAAATTTGAGCAAATTGTAATCTAAAATTACTCAAAAATTACACCTAAATTTGTTTTTAATCCAGATATTAAGACGCTAATTTAAATCATGCAAACCCTCGAGACTAGCAAAGAAACAGACGAACAGACAAACCCAATCAAAACCTTTAGAGCGTGCACATCTGAAACTAACTATCGCAAAATTATTTAGTCTCGTTTCGATACCTCTGAGCTTCTTTGTAGGTGCACACACTACAAAATTTTTAATTCTGTAACTGAATAGATGAATCGGCTGCGAAACAATCGACAATCACACTGTTATGCGATAGTTTAGTCAAAAGTGTGCACCCGCTCTTAATATTTACAATCTCAATCTTACTCATATTATAAATGCGAAAGTTTAGATGGATGGATGGATGTTTGTTAGAGTTTGTAGCCTGAACAGCTGAACGGATTTCGATGAAATTTGGTATAGACATAGAGGATAGTTTGGAAGAACACATAGGCTACTCACTTTTGTTTTTTTTTTATTCCGCGCGGACGGAGTCGGGAGCGAAAGCTAGTTTGAATATAAAATAGAACTCCGTTTACATACGTGTCATGTGCATGTTAAAGAATTTGATATTTCTATCACAACATTTTAATGCATTCCACTTAGTTTGATATATGCGATATAAAATTTCCACGAAAACTTTTTTCTTTCTAAAATTTAAATGACATAAGTATTGATAGTCGCAGATTTTGTTTTCATTGGAAATTTAATATCGTGTTTTACAAGATTCATACAAGAATATTTCGACACATACAAGTTTAATAAAATATCTAGCTGTTGCCCACGACTTCGTCCGCGTGGTATTAGAAAACATATGAACTATATAATAGCATATTATAGGCTACTTTTTTATGTTAATACTAGCTTTTGCCTGCGACTCCGTCCAATAAAATAGAGAGATTCTTGCTGTCGAGCAAGTGCATTAGGGTTGCAACATCTAGAACTTCACCTCTGTTTTAAACAAAATAAAGTCTAATCTAGTCTACAAAGGCTTGAATGATTTAAGTTAAGTTCGATGAATTTATGTTACCCAGTGCATGTAAATGATATTAAATTACAATACCTCATATCGTTTGAGGGGATACCTAACCAAATTAATGAAAGACTAGGCCACCCATGCTGCCCCCGTTCGGGTTAGTTGACCTTTAAAAACAATCAAAAAATCACCTCATATTGTAACCGTCATTTTCTATTACTAAAGTCTTTCTATATTGTGAGATAATTGCGACAAAAGCACCTTAACCACAGCGCCAGATATATCCGTCGTACTCTAATCTCAAAGCAAACAAATCAAGTAATTTTAACCACCCTCTAAATTATTCCGAATACAGCACACATGTCACATGTCGTTTCGTTTATCAATCTGCTTTATAAAGTTGCTAACGTGTTCGTTCCAGGTTGCCTGGGGGCGCTGTCAGTGGGCGTGGCGCTGGCGTTATCACCGGTATCGGTGGCTCTGTGCGTGCGGAAATCGACGCGTGTCACGGCCGTCGTGGGCGGCCTGGTCGCTGCCCTCGGTTGCCTCTTCACATCCTTCGCGACGCAGTTCCACCAGCTGTTCTTCAGCTATGGTATACAATTTTATCTTTATGTTCTACGCTAGGGAATAGAATCTAGAGTAATTTAGCATGAGAATGCTTTGGCACCGTTTAATATTCTCATAGAACTACTTTTCATTATTTAAGTAATGAAAACTAAACTAAGGAACAGCGTAATTTGTCAGTTTTGAGGGGCAGTAAGTTATGTAGATATAATTTTCAAAGTTAATTTTAAAAATTAATAAGAAATTTCTCCTCAAGTCATTCAGTTGCAGAGAAAGATAAATTTCACTTTAATCTTACGTACTCACAAAGCATAATGTATCTCAATATTGAGTCGCACAAACACCTGACAGTTTAATTTATTTCATCAGATTCGTATAATCGAACTTCAAAGGTATCCGCTAATTGGCTCTCACAGCAAACAAGCGGATATCCAATAAAACTGCGAGCATCAAAAATAAACAAACCGAGGAAGGCGCGCGTCCGAAGTGCGCTGCACATTACGCGCATCGAGAATAAATACCGAAATTATCAAAGGAGACTTCGAATGAATCTCCGTTTATCATAATTAATGAAGATGTTTACAAATTATGCATTTACATTTCACATTTTTTGAACAAATATTTAAAAAAACAGTGTCATGGTTTCTTAAAACTAAATTTTAAGTTTACTCTTGATACGCTTTAACTAGCTTCCTAAACTCTATAAATGAAACTATCAATTATTCTTAATACATTAGACAATTTCCAAACAAAGCATAAGTACTCAGTAGTATTTCTTTCAAAATTGAGCTTTAACCAAGAATCTCAAAAGCTATGTTAGAAAATATCAAAACAATACAAATAAATATTAAATCGCATTGTTCCTGTTCCAATTCCGTTCAAGCACACTTTAAAACGAAATAACCCGAATGATAGCCGGCAATGGTAAGGCGACGCGAACTCTACAATTGCAATAACGTACGCGCTAAGCTGACACTATCCTTGAGGATAATGCTGCAGTCAGCAGGAATTGTATTAGCATTTAAATTGAAGAATGCCGCGGTATGACCGCCTCGGTCCGTTTCCGCTACGACCGATATTTTTAATTCCCGCAACATAAAAAACAAACAGTTCGACACCTATCGATGCAAACTAGGGACGTGAAAATTTTAAATTGTAATCTGTGGTAACTCGATTTGCTTTTTTATTAGTTTCTAAGTAATAGTTAAAAAGGAAAAATGCCACACTTAAAATGACTTGATAACAATACTTATCTTTTCTCAACTCTTAGGGCCTGTCCCACAATTTTTGTAGATTGTCAGATAACAGTCCAACGTATAAAATATGTGATGGAAGTATCGGATTTGGTACTCTATACGACAGTGACGTCACTTTAAAGATATCTGAGCCTCTATCAGTGAGTGGTAGGATAGGATCTTGCATTTTCGAAACATCAAACATTGACAAGTTTTGAGTACTTTAATAATGAACATATTCAAATGCCAATTACCATTAAAAGTCCCAATTTACGGGGATTTTGAAGTTAAATTATGTTTTTGAATTTAATTTTACTTAAAGACGTGTTTTAATATTTCCTTTCAGAACAAATATAACGTCAAAATAAAGTATATTGGTTGTAGTAAGTATATTACTTGTATATTACTCAAATAACTAACTTGTATTTTTCAATGCAATAACTACGAGGTGATAGCAAACAAGTCGATACATTCGGTAGCGGAAATGTTCCCTCAGATAGCTGGAGCTTCATCCAAAGCTCGGCGTCTCACAAAGAAAACACATTACCTACATTGCTCCTCATAAACGACGCCGGAAACTCGATCTTGTGGAACTCGGATATTTTTAAGTTGTTTTCTTCAAATAATAAAGTGAAAATAAATTATACTGTTGGTTAAAAGCAAATTGTCAAAGGTTTCGATGATTTAATGGTAACTTATTAATTTACTATTATTTTGTATGGTATCCACATTCGTTACAAATCTTTTACGCGCATAAAGAGATGTAAATTATCCCAAGATTTATATTTCCCTGAAGCATACCTTCTCTTAAAGACTAGCGACGCGTGTCAAATGTGTACACTGTGAAAATTATTTCACAAATTCTCAGAGCTAAAATACATAAAATTCAAAATGAGAGGTAGATTCAAACAATGTACATATTTTATTATGTACTTTCATTTTGTGTGTATGATAGAAAACTTGTCGTAAACTCATCCGATACGCATCACACCGGCTCTGAGCGGCTGATAAATGGCATCACGTCACAAGTTCCCGCGATGAGTGTCGATAAGCGGCGATATCCTGGAAGTCCCCGCTTCCCTTCTCCCACGTACTGTCGCGATGCAATCTTTACAGCTTCCAATGCATCATCACGTCGCCATCTATGCCTATCTGTTAACGACTACTTTCAGATTCCGGTAATATCTGCTTAATGATAGTATAGAATGCTTTTGCTTTATTTTACTGACACTATTTTTCATACTAAGAGATCGTAACATCGCAGTTAGTTACAATGTCGTTCAGATAACGGGATATAAGATGGCCGAAGAACACCAAACACTTCTAAGCTAGTTAAAAAAAAGTTCGTTAAAAATGGCATAATGTTATGAAAATTAGACTAGATCATTTTTTTATAATAAGAATCATAGTACAGTAATACTATGCTGACCTTAGAAGACAAAAGCAGGAATGATGAAGATGATAAAAAAGGGGAGTAACAGAAATGATATTATCATGGTAGAGACTGTAAGGATTTTTGTAACATTCCAGGGACTGTGGTGGGCGTAGGCGTTGGTCTGACAAGGGACTGCTCGACGCTGATGGTGGCTCAATACTTCAAGCGGCGCCGGGAGCTCGTCGAAATCTTCATAGTAAGCGGCAGCGGCCTCGGCATCGCCGTCATGTCGACATTCATCAAAGGCGCTATAAGGTACCCCAACCATCCATAATGTAAAATAATAAAACTACTATCGTTATACGTAAAAAGCTAAAAAAAAAACTGTATCAAAGTAACAAATTAATTAAAAAACGATATCTATCGTTTTTTTACCTCTTAGGGTTCTTATTTAAATTTACCACTGTTGGGTATAAATTGGGCAAAAATAGTAAAAGAAATTTCTTGATGATCCTATTTCCAGTAAGGTTACTAATATTATAAATGCGAAAGTTTAGATGGATGGATGTTAGAATTTGTAGCCTAAACGGCTGAATAGATGTAGAGAATAATCTGGAAGAATACTTAGGCTATTTAGTTTTGTTTTTTTTTTTAATCCCAGTAGCCAATAAAAGGTAGTTTATGTTATAAACGCAATATGCACTGAATAGTTTAAATCAAAAATAAAAAAAAAACCATCCTTTGTTTAAAAATGTACAATATGAAATTGCGTTTTATTATAAAGTACGGTCGTCTCACTATTATCTATAGCTATTACCGATTTGGCTGTTTCATGCTTCACACTCTGTCTTTTTTTATTGATTTTTATATTTTTATCTGTAGAGCAATAGGTTGGAGACTAGGACTGCAGGCAGTAACAGGAGTCGTGTTCGTCACTTTCATCCTCGGCACGTTTTACCGGTCCGCATCTCTATACCATCCTCAGCGTCGTGCTATCTTGCATCTTAAGAACCAGAATAAAATCAAAAGGAAAATGAAAGACAAGAACAAATCGGATGATCGCCAGCCCTTCTTCGACTTCTCTACGCTGAGATCAAAAACTGTACGAATCCTGCTTATGTCTACTGGTATATCGGCGTTCGGGATCAATACTCCGATATTTTACTTAGCTTATCATGCTGAAGAAGAAGGTAATTACGCATTTTATACTAATGAGAATGTTGTTAAAATCTAGCATATTTAAATGAGAATTTGTATCGTTAAAAAAGTAGTCTGTTGCAGCAATCATGGGTCGTTTTAACCACAGTTTTCTCCATCAAGTAATTTATTTCAGAGCTAAGTTAAATTGAGAAATGTCCAGATTTAAGCAATAATGTAACGCCTATCCATCCTTCAGTTTCTATAAATCTCAACCTTATTATTTCCAGGGTTAGGTGATACTGCAGGCTTATTGCAAGCGTATCTCGGGTTAGCATGGGCGGTGGGGTGTGCGGCATTCGGCCTGTTGGTACGTCAGAAGTCAGCTGAATGCCGTATAGCACGGCAATATCTAACGCAGGCAGCGGTGTTCGTATGCGCACTGGCCACCATGGCGCTCACCGCTGTCGAGGGTTCCTATAGCGGATACGTGATGTTTGCTTGGGTCTATGGTAATATTTCTTTCATAACTTATTGCTTTCAAATCCAAAAAAAAAATTAAACAATGAATTTCAAGTTGAGTACTTACCAAAGAAACTAATGATAACAACTATAGCACATTGCAATATATACTAAACTAACTGGTTGCGTTGACGTCCAAGAGTGACCGGTCTTGTAAGATAATCTATATAAATGTCATGACTAAACATTGTAATTTCCTGTATCCATTTCAGGTATATTTTGTGGAGGTTACCATTACTCTCTGAAGATGTATACCTACGAGAGAGTACGATCTCGGAACTTCGCCAGGACTTGGGGCTTTGTACAGTGTTCTCAAGCCGTGCCTATTGCAATAGGAGTGCCCTTGTCAGGTATCTATTTCTGTATTATAAATCTATTAAACCAATACTGTGTTCAAAATTGTCTGCGTATATACTATAAACTTCAATCTATCCTAACATAACCTAACAGGTTCAATAATTGGTCACTAAGAGTCCTATATTTTTGAAATCAGCTGTTGCTGGAGAGTTTTCCGGTGTGACATGTTATGAAAATATGTTACTCACAGGTAAATTACCTTTCTAACGGTAAAAGAATTTTTAAAATCGGCCTAGTAGTTTTTGAGTTATTTCAATACATACCAAAATACAAATACTTCATCTTTATAATATTAATATTGACTAGTATAGAAGGATATAAGTGAGTAATAAATGTTTTTGTTTTTACAGGGTACATAAATGTGGGCTGCGGCGGTAAAGCGGGCTATTACTTCAGTTCGACATGCTCGCTGCTCGGCTCGCTGTCTCTCTTCTGCATCGACCTGCACCGTCGCAGCGTCGCGCACAAACACACCAAGTATTCTCAACTATATCCATACATAACACGAAATAAATCAACTCGTGTACTCAGAGGCATCATCTATAAAAATGAGGGGAAAAGACCGTGATATTAGCACAACTTTTTTAATATTACTACTAATACGCAGGTCGTTTTTTTTTTAATTTGAACCCCACGCAGATTATGTTGCATTGTATAAAAATAAATTCAATTTCTCCGTACTTTAATACACTGGGGTTTATCATATTAAATAGCGTTGAAATCTTTTTGCAAATATTTCATACCAGCTGTTGCCCGCGACTTCGTCCGCGTGGTATTAGAAAACATACGAAATATAAATTACAAAAAGCTACGTATCTCTCGGGAACCAGACATTTCTCTCGGATGGAGCTTATCTCATGTGTACTCCAGGCTTTGTTTTATATCTGTGCCAAATTTCAATAAGATATGTTGAACCGTTGCAGAATGATCGAGTGAACATTAAAAAACTAAATTAATGAATTCCACGGGAACCGTAACTATTCCCGGGATAAAAAGTAGCCTATGTGTTCCTTCAGACTATGCTCTAAACCTGTTCCAAATTTCATGGAGATCCGTCCAGCCGTTTAGGCTACAAACGCTAACAAACATCCATCCATCCATCCATCTAAACTTTCGTATTTATAATATTAGTAAGATTACGTAATTTATAAGTTTTCTGATCTACAATGTCATATTTCAGAGAAAATGGCGGTACGGCTCCCTGTGAGTCAGCGTGCGGCCAGTCTCGCCGCAGTCGCAGCAGGGACCGGGAGCCGAGGACGGCCACCGGCGCCGCCACTGCTTTAGGTGGTCCTCCTAACATTTTCATAACATCAAACGGTAGTCTCTTCAAATCTGTACACCAACCAAAGGACATACTGTGGCGCAAATTGATTACACTCAATTCATAATTAAGTTAAATGAAGATTTTATATTACTAAACTAAATATTTATTCAGTAACATGAGTAGAAAGTATTATAAACAAAATAAAACTTAATTTTCCCCACTGAAAGGTTGATCGTCGAGTGTTCTTATACACAAGTAACGCCATCTAGTTTAATATTTCGATTCTATGTAAGTTTTCAACGCTAAAGTGCGTAAGTAGTTTGCACTAAGAAGTGTAAGTAGTACCTATAATCTATCTAAGTTCTAGGAGCAGAATTAGTAGCACCGGGCAGGGCTGGGCGAGACCTCCTACTGGACAGCATCGGGCCAGGTAGCCTGGGCTCCCCGCCGGCTAAGCTGCCGCCGGAGCTCACCTGCATCAGCGAGGAAGGAGGTCTCGACTTGGACCTAGATCTAGACATACCAGAACATCTTCTGGAGGACCTAGATTGCGGTGGTGATTGTATCACTAGTTGTAATAAGGTAAACTTCGAATAGACTTTTTCTTTACTAATTAAAGTAATTAAATCGGATAATAAACAATTATTCAATTAAGTTATTGACACGATCAATGCATTACTAAAAAAAATTTCGTCAAGATTTGATTACTAGAATAGATTAGTCTAAGAAAAGACTGTCGGTTGAAAAGTGTCTTACAGCGAGGGCCGTTGCAAGTAAAACCCGAGAAAAAAAATCGTTAATACACTAAATCTACCCAGCAATTATGTAGTATCTTTCTGTTTTGTTCGTCGATTAAGGGAAAGCAACGCGTCTACAATTGCACATATCGATAGGAAGTCAATTAACAACATTACGCATCTGTTTTTACTTACTATTTTAAATTACACGTAAATGTATTCACTGGCAAAAGTTAAATATTTACGTCTTTACTTGAAGTATTAGGTATTCTAATACTAATAGAGATTATAATTAAGGTCACTATTTCTCAAGTTACTTTCACTTACATTCACTTAAATAGTAAGTGTAAAAAATGTAGAGCACCAACAATTTAATACAACAGCGCAACAGCGTTACACAAGCCCTAATCGCATTATGCCAAGAGTCGTACGATGTTTACGGTGCGACATTTCAATTTACACCGTAACATTTCAAATGAACGCGAGAACGAATTTTATTCGTATTAGATTTTTTTTTATTATAATAATAATAATAATCATCATAATCATACTTCATCCATTATTAATTGTTAATATTATAAATGCGAAAGTTAAGATGGATGGATGGATGTTTGTTAGAGTTTGTAGCCTAAACGCCTCAACCGATTTCAATTAAATTTGGTATAGATGTAGAGGATAGTCTGGAAGAACACATGGGGTACTCACTTGTATTTTTTTTAATTCCACGCGGACGGAGTCGCGGGCGATAGCTAGTGTGTAATAAAATTACATACGGTGTATATTCAGTAAAGAACTGCGAATACAAAACGTTCACGAGAAGTATTGTAATAAGTGAAGTATTGTAGCCATTTAATTTATGACTTAAAAATAGTATCAATCCCTAATTTCGGTAATTATGATTTCCGCAGAATATCATAGTTTTTTTTTACGTCATTCCAATACAATTGTACTATAAACATTGTTGTCCCTATCTATTTAAAGAGATTATGAGGGGTATTTCCAAGCATTTCGATAAGGAAAGACAGTTTTGAAATTGAATTTTTCGTACAGGTGGAAAACTATCTAATGCTGAGTGAATACGAGAACAATTTGATAGCGGAGTTACCAAATTTGAACGAGCGACGAGGCCGGCGCTGGTCTATCGTGGTCGGCAACTCTCCGCCGCCCGGCACCAACGACAACCAATCCACGCCTGAGCATAGAAACTCTATCAAATGGAAGAAAAAGTGCCATAACTCGAACAACAGACTGATCACAGTGATAAACGAGGCGTCCTTATAAACTTGTAGTGAAATGACAGCGAGACAATAAATAGCATAAATTGGTTAATGTACCTACGACCTATTTAACCTCATAATTTATTTGATGTGTGTGAATAATAGCGACAAATGTGTAATGCTCTGTATAAGTTATTAAATTATTACTACGATTATGTGTTTCCTTTCTTCCCATTTATTAACCTACTTTACAAGTCTATAAATTCTTTTATTTAAACATCTGAATTAAGTATTAGATTAAGAGCCTTTCCCAGCACTGGCTGATAGGCTCAGATAACTTTAAAATGAATTCACTGTCATAAGGGAACAAAATCCGATATTTGCATCATATATTTTACAAGTTGGATTGTTATCAGACAATTTACAATTCGGTGGGACAGGCCCTAAATAAAACGACAATTACAAGACAGTAGCTAAATATATTGTTAACATTTTGTAATACATTATAACTAGTGAATATTATACCGAAAAATATATTAATAATACATGTTTTATTGCCGTTGTGGTACAACTATGTCCTCCAAAAACTGGGCGAAGCATCTCATCGCCTGCAAGATCGCAGCGAGCAGGATGGAAAGAGACAGACTTACCAGCTTCTGATTCTCCGATACGACTATTTCATTCTTAACAGGAACTAAACTCCGACTCGACTCTACGCTAAGAATGCTCGCGTTATCACAATCAACGTTATACACATTTGTACCTACCTGACCGAACCTTTCGCGCACATCGTCGACATCACATGTCAAATCTATAATTATAAATTCAGAATTGATTATTTCGTTATCATTGAGTATATCCGCGGACTTCAACCTGTATACGTCGTCCCTATTAACATTACTATTGATCACATCTTTTGAACAACAAGGAATTTCATTCCAATGCACAGCACTATGAGATTCTTTTGTTAGGCACTTCGTTACTACACCTTCGATATTAGTGTTTAAATTATTATTGTATACACTCGCGTTAAAAGAGTCATCGTTCTCTTCTGACGACATACCACTGTCTTCGTCCAAAAGGACTTCTTTTGAACATTTATTACGATTGTCCAATTGTTCTATANNNGTCCGTGCCCTGCGCGGGCACGGCCTCTGGTCAAGACACCTTCCCACAACTTATACTGCCCTTTATTACAATCGCATTTGACAGCACATCTTGTGGCAATAAACCATCCACTTCGGAGACTGACGCATTGTTCAACGAACATGCGTCATCTAATAATAATTCGGATCGTAGACCCTGAAATAAATAGCACATACAAAGATTCGTACACAGTAAATTTAAATACGGACAGGAATATGACAGTAGCTGGTTCACTTTAAGCTAGTAAGCTAGTGTGACATGTCAGCTACCGGCGTGCAATTACACGCCGGTAGCTGCCGGTAGCTAATTACCAATAACTGGCGTGCTAGTAGCCTGGTATTTAATATTTCGACAGCTAAGCTGATAGATCTCATCTCATACTGTCTTGTAAACCTTCTGGTATGAATAATTGCACTAGTGGTCAACTGGCATGTTACCTAATAATCCATTTTACTATCATATTCCCACCCTAAAGTTATAATTCAACTTACAACAGCAAAGTACTCATATTCTTTTTGAAAAGATATTAGGAATATGCAGAAGATAGCCGTTAATAAATAACTGCATAGATACGTGATGACCAAACAAACTCTGAAGCTATTGGAACTATCTGGAAATAAAACATTATTAAAAACATATAACATTTACATATCATAAATAAAAATTATTAATAGCGTTTACCTTCGGTCATAAACGAAGTTATTGTTCCAAAAATAGCCATTAATATTAATAAAAGGAAGCTCACATTAGCAAGACATTGTCGTAGTATTAACAAATTTTTGTCATAAAATAATGTTGAAATATATGTTGTTAAAACGCACTGAAACAAAACAAAAATATTGTAAATATCTGGAATTATCAATTACAAATAACCTAATCTATGTAAAAGTTTCGTATTAAATCATAACGACTTTTTTGGAATAGAGTTTCTAACGAATTTATTGATTCAAATATAGTAATCTATACAAATATTATGCTATTTTCAGTAGCTTTTTTTTTAAGCTTTTCAAAAGAAAGTCAGTGATTCTTAAGGGGATTTCGATACGCTACTCAACAATATTATCTTACGTCTGGAAGACTTACAACCGCAAAGCACTTACAGAGTGTGGTAGTCGGCTAAACATATCCTTTATAAATATACTAGCTTTCGTCCGCGACTCCGTCCGCGTGGAATTAAAAAAACAAAGTAAGTAGCCTATGTGTTCTTCCAGACATCGTTCTACATCTATGCCAAATTTTATCTAAATCCGTTCAGCCGTTTAGGTTACAAACTCTAACAAACATCCATCTAAACTTCCGCATTTATAATATTAGTATGATTTCCGTCCACCAGAATGTTTAAATGTGTTCCACATATTAATAAAACATTACTTCATTATTTAAAATAGAATACAGTATACATTAAAAAATCTAAGATCGAAAATAGTTAGCAATCTTGATATTAAATAACTAATATCAAACCTTCGTGGTATTGTAATGTAATAAATGTTACAAGGCTTAATATAATTGTGGCATTAGTGGGGCAATTTATTTTATTTTCATAAACTAGGTATTATATACTAACCTGTACCCATAAGTACAAAGTGCCGAAAGCACATATAAATATATTTAGGGCTATCAAGCAATGGCTATCCACCTGCAATACAAAATGTAAGGTAAATACCTTTTGAACACAATAAAACAACAACGACATACATAACTATTCAATTGCAACCTTTTTCGTTGCACTTTTGTTAACATAAAATATATTAAGCTGTTGCTCGAGACTGTCCGGGTGAAATTGAAAAAAAAACATGGCCTATGTTACTCACTGGTAACATAACTTTTTAATGGTGCAAGCATTTTTGACATCAAATAAAAATACAAATCTTTGTATTTATATTAGATAATAATATGTATTTATATCTATTTAGTAATATTACAAAAACACATTTAAAAAACGCTATCATGCAAATTAAAAAAAATTTTTTAAGTTATTTGTCCGCCTGTTATAAAACATATTAAATTAATCATTGGACAGTGAACAAAAAACTCTAAGCAACAAAGGAACAATAATATTTAAATTGGAACAATTATTAAAGTTACATTAGTGTTGCAAAACATAGTACAAAGCATTTAGATCTTGATACTGTGTTGTGGTATTATGTAACGCAAGCATTGTACATAACAATAATTACTCTTAAAATAGCACAATATGCATTCATAACATCATATAGATTTTTTTTAATTATGAGGTTACATATTTTTTTAAAAGAGAAGGGGGCAAACGAGCGGCGGGAACACGTAGGTGATCGACGACTCCCATGGACGCAACACCAGAGGAACAACATATCGTGTGATAGGCTTTTTTAAAGGACCCTATGTCGTATCGGTTTGGAAATACCCTCGAGGACTGTTCCCCAACGCGGATGTGCGAAGCAGGAAGTTTTCGAAAACCGTAAGGTTGTAGAATGTCAGCCTTCAAGATGGTGAGGATAGAACCTGGCAGTCTATCATGTCTTCTTACTTACACTTATGCATCACCTCATATCACATCATCAGCGGACTAAACATCCCCACTGAGAGGCTCAGAGCCTACCCTAAGTTATGGTATGCTTCAGTTATTCATATTTTTCAAAAATTATTTTCCATTACCTATTGTAATAATGATTGAAAAGATTTCTTACCTTGAACAGAAATAGTAAGAGGTACGCTAGGAAGCCCAGAGAAAGGAATGAGGCTGAAAATGTTGCAATCCTATTGGCAAAGGAGGTCACATTGGGATTCGGTGTTAGTGAGCCTAATACATGTATTTGCTGGTATCGGTCATAGATGATTTTCCCAGCTGCAAAAAATTTGTTAGCACATTTGTTAATAATGGTATTGAATGCATTATTAGAAACATGTAATGAGTTATAAAGCTATATTATATTGTAAAACTTGTGTATCCATTTAATGGCATAATACATGGCTATTGTAATTAGTATTTTTATATTTACGAAGGGCTTGGTGTTGCTTGTGACATAATCCGCATAAAATTAAACCTTTGTTACTTACTGAAAATGTAGCTTTTTAATGTTGAAACATTTTTTAACAGGCCTGGTAGTTTTTGAGCTATTTCAATATGTACAAAAATACAAATCATTCCTCTTTATAATGTTAGTATTTAAAAAAATGTCTTAAAATTAAAGTTTTTAGTACACACTTAGCTTTATTATAAAAATGTGAAAAGTAGCTATTAACAGCAAT